TCAAAATGTCTCAGATCTTTTCTGTTTGCAGTTAAACTGGATCGGTCCGAAGTTGTTATTCAATGGCGGTATCTTGACGACAGGAACTTGTGCTATCTTTTTCGGTCTGCTGGATAAGGTCGACGGTCACTATCCATTTATAATCCTCTCCTTCTTGATTAGGATTGTCGAGGCACTTGGGAACGCCGCATTTCTAACTGCCAGTTTTGCGATTATCGCTAAAGAATTTCCGAATAATGTTGCGACGACATTTGCTAGCTTGGAAACATTCTTTGGTTTGGGACTTATTGTTGGTCCTACAGTTGGTGGTGCTCTTTATCAGGTATATATATATTAGGTCAGTCCAAAAGTTCGTGCGCATTAGTAGCATGTATGTATATAGCAAAATGCGCACAAACTTTTGGACTGACCTGATATATATATATATATGTATGTATATACATACGTATATCTAATGAAAACTTCAATTTTATTATTTATAAGTAATCGAAAAAAAGAAAAAAAAATACAAAACCCGTAACAAACATGAAACAAAAATTATTGTCTTCGTTAGGCCGGTGGTTACACAACACCATTTGTTGTACTGGGTTCGGCACTCTTTTTATCAGCTGTCATGACAGCATTCATCCTACCAATGCATAATAATCGTGAACAGGATGCACAAAACGCCGGAGGTACTCGAAGATCTCTCATTTTTCTATCATACATCCATGATATACAAATGATACGAAAATTCTTCCAGGTGTTTCGAAGGTTCTAAGGATTCCAGGAGTTTTAGTAGCAACCTTGTCGATAATTGCAACTAGTATGAGTATAGGATTCTTACAGGCAACATTGGAACCACATTTACGTCAGTTCAGTTTGAGTCCCGTAGTTTTGGGCTTGATGTTTGTTATCAATGGTGGCACTTATGCTCTTACTGCTCCAATCTGGGGTTGGTTTTGTGACAAATATTCACATCCAAAAGTAAAACTCTTTAAAAATTCGATTGACGATCGATCTAATAAAACGTAAAAACTTAATTAATTTGTTTTCTCTCTCTCTCTCTCTCTATATATATATAAATATATAGGTGGCAACAGTCGTAGGATGTATTCTCGTTGCTATTGCATTCTCTTTGGTAGGACCTGCACCCTTTATACCATATCCTACATTGGTTTGGATGACAATTTGTGGACTCGTTATACATGGTTTAGGAATGTCTGCTCAATTGGTTGCTAGTTTCACGGATGCTCTAAGAACATGCATGTAAATATCATTTTTCATTTATTACATTTAAATAGTTTTATGAACAATTCGTTTTGCGCCTGAATATAGGCAATACTTTATACTTAGTCGATAACTACGAATAAAAGTGCCATCTATCAATAGAAAGAGGCAATAGAGGTTCATAGAAGAGCTTAAAAAATATTCCCTAAGGGATAACGTTGTTAACTGCAATTATCGACCAAGTATAAAGTGATATCTATCTTCAGGCGCTATCATTAATATAATTACAGAAAATATATATGATTAATAATAATAATATATATAATATATATATATTTTTTTAAAGATCTTATGGATTTCCAAATAATCTTGAAACTTATGGTTTGATCAGTGGTCTTTGGACAAGTACTTTCGCATTGGGAGCCTTTATTGGTCCCAGTGTTGCTGGTATTCTTTTAGATAACATTGGATTTAGAAACGCTTCGATGTTTATTGTTATTCTTCACTTGATGATTGTAAGTTTAATTATATTCAATATGATTTTAATAATAGAACTAACAAAAATCCGTCAGATTACAAAATTTCTTGTTTTACGATGATTGAAAAAATAAATAATAACAAATATAAAATTAAATTAATTAAAAATAATGACAAATAAATTATAAAAGATTGATGGTCATTAGTAAAGTAAATAATTGTGTAGATTTGACACTTATAAAAAAAAAAAAAAAATCGTTGATAATAAGTAAACCATAGATTAAAAAAAAATCTCTGCCTATTTAAACGTTAATATCTATCTTATTAAGAAAAATTATATTTTATTAAAAAAATGTTTCTTTTTTTTTCTCTCTCTTTCTCTCTCTTTTTTTCAGGCTATATTAGCTGCAGTGTTTCTTAGCAATTGTTCGAAAGGACCGAAACCATACACGGAAATTGGCGTAGCCGATGATATAAGAGTACCTTTGACGGACAGTGGTCGATCGAAAAGTGGTAGCTATCGTGTTGCTCGTGGTCAAAGCGTGCCGATAGATAGGCCGAATGGCATGAACTCGTTGATAGCTTGCAACAGTTATTCTAACAGGGCCGGCGCTTGGTCCAGAGCGTCTTACAGCGGACGATATTCTCATAGTTATGGCTCGATCGAAAACAAACGATATCTTGAATTGACTACGTGATGACATTTCCCGAAAAAAAAAGACAAACGAGAAAAAAAGAAAAAAAAAAAAGAAAAAAAAAAGAAAGAAGAAACGAAAAAGAAAGAAGAAACGAAAAAAAAAGAAGAAACGAAAAATTCCACGAAAAGATAAAGAAGATCTTCTTCAATGAGAAACCTCGATTCGCGATAAGTTCACATTGAATCGCATTAACGAAGAAAATGAATCTCTCTTGTCTTAGCCATTTTTTTTTTTTTTTTTTTTTTTTTTTTATCAAGCGCGTTTACTTACTTTTTTTTTTCTTTCTTTTTCTCTTTCTTCTTCTTATCAGAACTGAACGAATGAACGAGCGATGTAACTTTTTACCAATCACGTCTTTTTTCCTTCCTTATACCATTACCTGTGCGTAAAATAGGTAAATAAGTTATGTTCGAATTCAAAAAGAATAACGATGAAGTAGTATGTTATAGTTTCGTTTTATATGTTCATTACATTTTTATTTCTTTTTATTTTTTTTTTTTTTTGTTGTATTTTTTTGTTAATTTTCTTCTCTTATGTTTCCGTAATTATTATGTACACGAGGGCAACTTGTTAAAACGACTTCGTTCTTTTTTTTCTTGATGTTTTAAATGTTACAAAAGAAACAAAAAAAAAAAGAACAAATTCTTTTTAATGCATAAATTTCATTTTTAAAGCGAACGAAAAATCGCAAACTTTTCAAATTGCCCTAATATGTTTTTTAGATGTTTTTTTTTTGTTTTGTTTCTTTCAATACATATTTAAAGGAAAGTTCGTGCATTATTGAATACGTTCTTTTTTTGCTATTTTAATTTCTGACCGAATCGTTTGAACGATCTAATTTTAATAAGTGAAATCCTTTAACGTAGATTGTTATACAAAATTAGATTATCGGAGAGTGACACTCGAAAAGACAAGATGACGAAGCACGAAATACTTTTCTAATTAGCAATCAATTACCATGAGTTGCAATGCGTCAACAAAAATATATCTATAACTTTCACATGTGTTCCCTAATTAATAAGCAAATATTTTAGTCAAAGTATACGTATAGTTTCGTAAGTTACTCGATTATCTTTGCGATAACGTGATTCAAAAAAAAAAAGAAAAAGAAAAAGAAAAAAAAAGGAAAAAACAAAGAAAAAAAAACAAAGAGAGAAAAAAAAAAAAAAAGAAGAAAACCAAAGAAACCAAGAAAAATGTTGTCGAATCTATTTAAATCTAATTGTACATAGTATCATTAGCATTTGTTATGGCATTACCATTAAATATCAATACTTATATACATATAAATATACATAAATATATATACACATACTTATCATTGACGAATTTAACATGGTTCTTTTTTTTTGTTTTTTTTTTTTTTTTTTTTTTTTTTCGAAAATTGTTTTTAAAAATAAAATCGAAAAAGAGAAAGAAGAAGAAGAAGAAGAAGAAAAGAAAAAGAATTAACAAAGATGCTTCCTTCCAATCATGTTAAATTATTGTTATATCAGTTGTTTTATTTTTCTACCCTACCTTTTTTTTCTTTCGCCATTAACAAAATGATTCTCATCATAGAAAATTTACTTTTTTTTTTTTTTTTTTTTATTTTTTTTTTCTATCTACCACCATACATCTATTCACTTAATGCATACCAAATCCATCAACTTCGACCGTGTGCTTCCAACGTTCATTTTGAATTCCGAAACGACAACGAAGACGTGCCCACGCACGCGTTTCCATATTGTATCCAAGGGAACAATGCAAAGAACTGAGAGAGATAGAGATAGAGATAGAGAGAGAGTGAGAGAGATAAAGAGAGACTTTCTTATGGTCGTAACAGTATCTCAGGTACGTATCGATGATTCACTACCTGTTCATGTTCCGGAAAGGGAAAGGCAAGATCGAACTGATTGAACATTACTATCATCCTTTTTTTCTTTTTTTTCTTTTTTTTTTGTTTATAACTCTTATTCATAACTAATTTTTGTTCATAACTTTTTTTGTTCATCAGTACATTTATTGATTGTCCTTAAAACATCTCGATTATTTATATAAATAATCACTGTAAAGTAAATTCACTGTAAAGTAAAAAAAAAAAATATATATATATATATATATATATCAATGAATATGATTGATTTTCAATATTAATATACGTACTTAATGAAATATAATTAAACAAATTTAAAAACTGAGAACTCCGATGAAATAATTAAAATTAAAGCATAGATCCTATAGTCATTTATAAACATAATAAATTACTATTTATATACTATGCAACATCTTGAAAAATAACATTCAAACGTGATTAATCTCTTGATTCACAATATCATAATCGATGTATTATAAAATATATTGTATTTTACGATATTTATTTAATATCGAAAGATCTATATCTTTTATTTTACTTTTTATTAAAAAAAAAAAGAAAAAAAAAGAAAAAAAAAGAAAAAAAGAGCAGTAGATCGTTAAATTTACATTTGCGATTGTCTTAAAATTTATCTTCATTTTTATCATACAAAATATATTCGTTCGTATCGCATAGTTTTGTTATTAATTAATTTTGTATTAAAAGAATTTTTTGTTTTGTTTTTTTTTTCTTACTCTAAGAAACACATTTTGTTGATTTGCATTGTATTACATTTATTCTTTTTATTTATTCTTTTATTTCTTTATTTATTTATTTACTGATTTATTTTTTTTTTCATTTTTTTTTTTTTTCTAATAAACTTATTTGTTCTGTTTTAAGAAGCAGTACTTTGCTCATGTGCATCGGCCCATCCGGAAATTGTTCTCTTCCCTCGCGCAAACGTGTTAATCCTCTAACGGAGTTCCTTTTTGCGCTGTTCAAGCAACAGGTGACTCGTCTTCGTGATTATCCGGAAGTTGAGTCTCCCTCTACGATCTCGAACAAATTCGAGAGACTCGCTCGATGATGATTCAAGCTTACCTACGTTGGTGGCCTTCCTAACATGTTTTGGAATTGGCACATACACACACATACACAGAGACAGAAAGAGAGAGAGAGAGAGAGAGAGAGAGAGAGAGAAAAGACGATATTTATTTTGTTCTCTTCTTTTTTTCTTTTATTTTATTTTTCTTCTTTTTTTTTTTTCCTTTGTTTCTTTCTAATGAAGAGACGAGTGTGAAAGCGACGTAGAAGAACGAAAGGGAAAAAAAAAGAAGTAGAAGAAATTATTAACGCACATGGCGATCACTGATGTGCATCGACAAGTATCCGACCCTTCCCTTTCTTAACAATAACATTTAAAAATAAAACTTCATATACTTAAACTTTAAATTGTAATGTTAAAACTCGAACGTATAATTATTTAAACTTTTACTATAGTGTAAATCATTCAAGATATAGCTATTTAGATTGGTTCTTATTATTTAAAATATCTTATATATATTTAAAAAAAAAAAAAAAAAAAAAGGTAAAATGAAATAAAATAAAACAAAAATTACAACGTAAATCTATGTAATTATTCCATATCATAGTTTTACAATAGTCTTTAGATAAAGTGCATATCAATGCATAAAATTCATATCGATAACTAATATTCGTCCATATTACACTTTCCCCATTTATCCTTTTCCCAAAGATAACAATCAAATACATTAGCGTCTACGTAAATATATAATTACTTCTATTCCTAGTTTTAATCTAAATCATTCATATATAACTACCGTGACAATAGACATTATTTCAAAAACACAAATTAGAAGGAAAGAAATTCTTCTGTTAAAAAGTCAACACAATAATCGTCCCACAAAAAGTCAACAGTATCGTTCATTCGTTCGAAAAAAATATATAAAAAAAAAAAAGAGAGAATAAAAAAAGAAAATAACAGATAAAAGGAAAATAAAATCTATTTCAATTATATAAAAAAAAAAAAGAAATTAAAACGCCCATACCGTAGATACGACGTGCACGAAATTAATCCTCCAAGGAAATAATAATAATAATTATTATTATAATAGTAATAATAAAAAAGAAGAAAAGAAAAAAAAAACGAAAGGGAAAAAAAAGGAGAAGAATATTAATAACAACAGTAAGAGAATCTTCCATCTTTGATTCTTTTGAACGAAACCAAAAAAAAAAAAAAAAAAAAAGACAAAAAAAAAAGGAAAAAACAAATAAAAAAAACCAAATAAAAAAACAAAAAAAAAATAAAAAGAATGTAATCCTTGAAGGAAGAAGATAGGAAGGATTCAAGCGAGGTGCTGCCACCTGCCACCAAACTAAACTCTCTCGCAGGTGAAAAAGAAAAAGAGAGAGAGAGAGAGAGAGAGAGAGAGAGAGAGAGAGAGAGAAAGAGATATAGAAGGAGAAGAACGAGAGAAGGATATAGACGAAGGAAAAGAACAGGTCCCTTTCGAAGAGGGTTGCCAGTTATATTCCTCCCACCTTTTGTCCTGTGCTCGAGGCAAAAGCAGCAACCAAGAAGGAGAGCTGGCAATGCAACGTTGTGTGAAGGAAGAAGAGAAGGAGAGAGAGAGAGAGAAAGAGAGAAAGAGAGAGAGAGAGAAAGAGAGAAAGAGAGAGAGAGAAAGAGAGAAAGAGAGGGAGGGAGGGAAAGAGAAGGATGGGAGAGGTGAAGGGGGAGGGACGCTTTGTGGCGAAGAGACGCGCAGGCGCGCAGGCCCGCGGGGTCCTTTGCCCCAGTCGTGCGGTCAGCTAGTCGGGAGAGACCCAACGTTCGCTTCGATTCGTTAAGGAAAAGGCCGCGGAATCGTCCTCCTCATCGGCCGGTGCCGTGTGAGAAGAGACATTTCTCTCTCTTTCTCTCTCTCTCTCTCTTTCTCTCTCTTTCTCTCTCTCTCTCTCTCTTTTTTTCTTTTTCTTTCTCTATTTCTCTATTTTATTTTCTTTGTCTCTCATTCATTCGATCTCTCTATCTTTCTCTATCTCTAACTTTCTCAAACAGACATCACACAACACAACACAATTTTTCTTTATTGTCCTTCTTCTTCTTCTTCTTCTTCTTCTTCTTCTTCTTCTTCTTCTTCTTCTTCCTCTTCTTCTTCTTCTTCTTTTTCTTCTTCTTTTTTAATTAAACGTATCCCTTTGTCGTTTCGTTGATTTTTCTTAATGAACGTTTTCATCGAACATTTAAACGTTGAAAAA